ACCATCATCCTCCCGCGGGGAATCCAGAATTTTTGGCGCACACAACTCAATGTGAGCTGAGTTCCGCCATGCAGTACTCTTTTGTGGCAAGCTTGAATTACAAGCTCGGTGAAATGTGAGGTTTGAGGCAGAATGATGGGGTGTCGCTCGTCGTCACTGAGCTGAGCGTGTTTCAATCGTCCTCCGACTCGTAGTGTGCCCTGATCGTCCATGAAGGNGTTGAGAGTTTTGATTGTGCTGCGATTTTCCAATTGCTGATCTTGTTTCAGTGCCCTGAGTTCTGCCTTGAAAAATATTGCCTGCGAGTGACGAATCCATACCCTCTCAGCGCGGTCTAGCTCATCTGGTGACAAAACAAAAGTATTAAAGTTTCTGGATCCACCCTTCGCCCAGCGTAGCATCCATGCCGTTACTCGGAGCAGACGAGATAACGACGAGAATCTGAGAAGTATGTCGGACTCCTTGAGAGCGGTTGCTGCTGCAGCGTTGTGAACTCGCGCCCGCTGCTCTGGCAGCTCGTCATCCAAATCCGAAGGCGATACTTTTGGCCACGAGCTCGCCTTAGCAGAGAGAAAGGGCGGCCCATGCCACCATAGCGGATGACTGAGTATTGATCTCGGAGACAAACCTCGGGATGCACAATCGGCGGGATTTTGATCACTGCGAATGTGGTGCCAGCTTGCGTTTGGAAGTACGCGCTGTATCTCTGAGACACGATTGGCAACGTAAGTAGACCAACGAGCGGGATGACCTTGAATCCACCCTAGCGTGACGGTGGAATCTGACCAGAGGTGAATGGCGTCTGTCGGCATGTTTAAGATTGTGACAATGTGATGAATGATTTTCACGAGCAGTGAAGCTGCGCACAGTTCTAAACGCGGTAAGGATATNCTCTTCAGCGGCGCCACCTTGGTTTTCGCGAGCAGNAAAGATGTGAGAACTTGACCATCCTCTATCTCGGCACGTAGATATGCTACTGCAGNATAGGCTCTTTCGGAAGCGTCTGCGAAACCGTGTAGCTCCAGTCGCGCTCCGTGCGCATCGCTGTGAGTCCATCGAGGCACACGCACAGTGTTTAATGACGACAATTCCTCTCGAAAGCGTATCCATTCAGCCGCTTCTTCTTCTTGGAGTGGATCATCCCAGTCGAGGCGCTGCAGCCATGTAGTTTGAATAAGCAGCTTGGCGCTGACANTCACGGGGGAAAGCCAGCCCAGCGGGTCGAACAACTGCGCCGTTTCTGACAGTAAGTTGCGCTTCGTGAGTGTTGAACTTCTCGAACGCAGATTGATGACAAAGGCAAAGCAGTCCGAGTAAGGATCCCACTGGAGGCCCAGCGCTGAGTGAAGCTCGCCCGACTGCCAGCTGCGACTTTGCTGAGCGCACAGGTCTGGCGACAGATCATCCACAAGGCTCGGAGCGTTAGATGCCCACTTCCTCAATGGAAATCCGCCCGCCTTGCACAAGCCCTGCAGTTGACTTCGCAACTTGATTGCTTCGCTCAGAGACTGAGCTCCTGTAAGCACATCGTCCACGTAGACGTCGCGACGTAGTGCGGCAGCTCCCTCGGGAAAGTGTTCCTCTTCGTCGTTAGCTAATTGTTTGAGAGTTCTGATCGCGAGGAAAGGGGCGCATGCAAGGCCGTAAGTGACCGTATTTAGGTGATATTCTTCAATTGACGAATTGGATTTCCACAATATTCGTTGCAGATTGCGGTCGTCTGAATGAACTTCGATCTGGCGGTACATTTTTTCCACGTCACTGATCATCACATATCTGTGACAGCGCCATCGTGTGATGACATCTGCTAAAGCCGGCAAGAGGTTCGGACCCACCAGAAGACATTGATTCAGAGAATCTCCGGCTGAAGTTTGCTGTGAGCCATTGAAAACTACGCGGAGTTTAGTTGTTTGACTTGCAGCTCTTAACACGCCGTGATGCGGCAAGTAGCACGTTTGCTTTTGCTGCTCGCTTGTTGAAGGTTGCACCTGTGTCATGTGACCGAGCGTTTTATACTCTTGAAGTCCGCATATAGATCACGGAAAGATGCGTCGGTTTCGAAGCGGCGCTCCATCGCGCGGAGCGACCGGATTGCAGACCTGCGGGTGTCCGAAAGATCCGGAAGCGCTGTCGCGAGTGGCAAGCGAACCACGTATCTGCCGTCCGATTTTCGCGAGTGGGTCGATTCATAAAATTCCTCACACCGCTTTTCTTCTGCAGTCAGCGGAAGCGAAGTTGCTGGAGGCTCTTCCTGCTCCCAAAATTTCCGTACGAGAGCGCTGAGATCCTCGGTGATGGAGCATTGATTGAATGACATTTCCNCGCCCTGTCCTGTCTCACCTGCGAGACCGGAAATAATCCAACCTAAACTTGTGCGCTGAGCAATTGGTGAACGAGAGCTGCCCTTCTTCAGGCCCTCTTGCAGAATAGTTGAGTAAACGTCAGCTCCGAGTAGTAAGTCGATCGGGTCTTGTGCTAAGAAATCTGGATCTGCCAAATCCAGTTCGTGAAGATGAGGCCAGGCTGCTAGGTCGGCACTGACTTTGCCGCCGTAGGCCGTGAGACGTGGCAATATTAAAGCAGTAATCGATAATGAACCGGAATCGACTCGCGAACGGATTGTTAGCTGAACTCGCCCTCTTGATGTGGCTGTCTTCTTTCCTCCGACTCCAAAAATTGTGACGGCTGCGTGCTTTCGTGGCAACCGTAAGCGTTGAGCAAGCGACTCAGACGCAAGCGAAGTTTCAGAACCCGGATCTATCAACGCGCGGGCGAGATGAGCTACACCGAATTTATCGAGCACGGTTACGCGCGCGGTCGCTAAAATGACAACAGCGTTTGTTTTTCGATGCGTTACGTGACTAGTCGTGGACGCTCTTGNCACGTCACTAGGAGACGCCGCGGTAGCNATCGCGTCGTGCACGGTAGTATGATGTCGACTAGAACACTTTGAGCAAGTTTTTTGCGAATGACAGTCGCTCACTGCGTGCTTGCCTAGGCAATTGATGCACAGATTATTTTTTTCAATCACGTCCTTCCGCTCATTTGCGCTCTTCTGCTTGTACTGTTCGCAGAACAAAACGTAGTGGTTTTGAGTGCAGCACACACACCGATTGGTCTTACCGCTTTGTTTCTTAGCGAGATGCGAGCGCGTTGAGCGGCCTTGACTATCCCCCTTCGTTGCTGAAGAGGCCTTCGCCATAGCTTCTAGAGTATGCATTCGGTGCTCCAAGAATTTCTCGAGCTGTTCCAGAGATGGTGGATCTGTAGAGCTGCCGACCGTGTCCTCCCACTCGCTTCTTGTGCGTGTGGCCATGCGCTCCACAACTAAATGAATAAAGAGATCGGAGCAGTTTGTAATCGGCCGTTTTATGCCCTCAAGAGCGGCTACNGTGCTTAGCATTCCGTGATAAATTTTGCTAAGGTCGCCGACAGTCTCGCCTTTCATCTTTGGAAGTGATGAAAAGCGCGCAAGATAAGACTGCGTGAGGAGACGCTTATTTTNGAAATGACCGGTTAGCATTGACCAAGCTCGATCNAAATTCTCATCGGTGATCGGTAAATTTCTCAGTAGATTTGCTGCACTGCCCTTCAGGCTTGTTTTTAAATAATGCAGCTTCTCGACACCTGAGATAGTCGAATCTTTATTGATAATGGAAAGAAACAGATCACGAAACTCGGGCCATTCNTCAAATTCACCAGAAAATTCCGGAAGCCGAATGCGCGGCAATGCACTTTTCGCTNGGCCGGGCTTAGATCTCTCCGCTGTGACCTCTTCAGATTTTGTCTGCAAAGCTCGCTCAAGTTCGAGAAGCGTCGCTCGTTGCGTCAGATACGTCGTTTCGGCCACCGTTATGAAATCTTTGACAAAATAATCGGATTTCTTCAATTCGTTCCAGTAGGTGGAGCGTAATTCAGTGTGTTGCTCTTCAAACTGAGTCCACTTTTTATCAAGCAAGGTCATCGTGGATTGAATAAGACCGAGGGTGAGCCTTGCGCTTCCCATTTTCTTCAGATTGTCGTGAGTGTTACTAATGCGCACGTGAAGCTCTTGCTGCGCCTGCAATAACGCCTCCATTATGTTTCTTCCTCTTCAGATGCTGCACTGGAAAAGCACTGGGCAACACCAGAAAGATTGCGAACCGATAGCTCGTCGAAGGCAAAGATCCGGCTCGAAGGACCAAAATTGTTTACGTGGATGTGAAAATTTGCGCGAGGAAAGCGATCACGGATCACGCACACGCGCGTTTAAGAAAGTGTGTGGAAGTGAGAGAGAAGGCGAATTCAACTGGCACACGATGTAGTGAACAGCTTACATATATTTAAAAAAAATAAAAGAAAATGGTATACACAATGTAACAACAAAAAAAAGAATTATTTTTAACGCCGCGCTGTCACAGAATCGATTTGCAAACAATGCTGCTATGCTTTAATCTTACGCCGGCAAAAAGAGCGAAATTCTGTCAAGATTACGACGACCGATCTCCGAAAGATTTCAAAACCAACTGAACTGGCTTCTCGCGTCAGCTGAGCGCGCTGTGTTTAGTTCTGTCTAAAATCCTTTGCTTTGATTGGTCGCACACTGTGATTGATTTGAACGGCATGTGTTTGAGTCACTCTCACCTCACCGTTTCTGTGACTTAGCAAGGTGTCGACCACGGCCAAGTGTGTTGTTGAATTTCGTCAACAAGAGTGGTTATTTTTCGACCTCTCGCACTGTTGCGGCCGGTTTTGCTCATATCTCGCAAGAAAGCTACTTTGAAAACTACAGGCTTATAAATTAAATATTCCTGTGAACTATGCAGGAGAAAACTCTTTGTTTGCGCCCCATGTGATGCTTGAACA